TCTAATCTAATCTAATCTAATCTATCTAATCTATCCTATCCTATCCTATCCTATCTATCTATCTTATCTAATCTTATCTAATCTTATCTTATCTTATCTTATCTATCTATCTATTTTTTCTATCTATCTATCTATCTATCTAATCTAATCTAATCTAGCTATCTAATCTATCTATCTATCGATCGATCGATCGATCGATGTATCTATCTATCTATCGATCGATCGATCGATCGATGTATCTATCTATTTATCTATCTATCTACATGTGTGTGTGCATATACAATTGTATAAATATATGTGCATTGTATGTATATACAATTATATATATAATGGAAAAATCATTTGATCTAAGCTCTGCTGTCACTGACAGTGAGGTGCAACATGCGACTCCATCCTGCAAGAATTGGACCGACGTCCTTTTCCCCGGCAGTTTTATGGGTGTGGCGTCAAAATCTTGATTTACGGCGTCGAACTGTTTGCCATACAGGAACGAGAGCTGGGCACCGGATTGGACCGCGGTACTTCAAAACGCGCATAGAGAGCACATTTTTAGACGGCATGGGTGCGTTGGTGCTGCATCTAAGCAAACTCAACGTTTGTAAGCATCGTACATTGCGCAATTTTGGTTTCATGTTTCATAGCCCGAGGCTTCCTATTACATGCCCCCCTCTCCAGAAAGAATAGATCCAACACATTAGGGTGTACCCTCCGGTAATCAAACGGGGCACTGGGAAATCTTCAATTTATAGATGATTTTTGTTGTAGGATTTTCCATGATTTTCCGATTACATATAACCTCCATTTATTTAAAAAAATAGTCCCAGCTTGCTGAGGTAGGGGGATGGAATTCCAAGGATCTCCCAGGGAAATCCGGCCTGTCTCATCTACCCAGCCCATCAGGGACAACCTGGGTTGCCAGGGTTGGATCTGCCGTTGAATGTGTTAAATCTAACGCCATACACATACCATTTGGGAATGGTTTTTACATGATTTTTTGCCACCCATTGATTGTAAGTCATTGGGTATGGTTTATTATTGGGTTTGTCACAGTTCGGCACGCTTGGCACATGAAAACAACTGAGCCAAACAATGTCTGTAGCACAAAGGATTCCAAACACAAGCTTGCTTTGTTAATTTTGAATACACGCTGCCAGGGATTCACGATGGCCTCAGGGATCAAATCGTCTCTCCCCAAGTCTGGGGCTATACAAATCGATATTGGCTGGAACGCATACGCATAAGAATCACAAGAAGGGAGACTTGCAGACTTGCATATCTGAATGCAGCGCCTGCATGCGCCTGCCGTGCTTCATTCCGTGTGTAAAAGGCGGGGTGCAGAAATGCCACATGATGCTCCAGAAATATTGGCTACTTAAGCAAGGAACCCTCAATTTTGACAAGCCTGAACACCCTGATTGCCAAGAAGTTGATCCAACATCACCCAATTTGTCAACAAAAATCAACTTCACGAGACCAAATGCCAGCGGTGAAGACCAAATGACTCCCAATTTCTTACTCCACCCTGCCGGGCGTTGTTCCGAGCCTCCCTTAAATCCAAATAAAAGGCGACACAATGGTCTAGCAAATAGCTTGGTAGCTGTTATACTGGTGGCACGTGGCCGATGACCAAAAGTTTGGAACGGGTTTTGCTTCTGTCGCCAGTGTTTGATGGGTTCACCAAAGCTGCCAAGAGAAAGTCCAACGACGCTGTACGAGTGCTATCACTGTCCGGGTGCGTTTCGTGTCTTTGCAATGTTTGGCCAAAGTTTATAGTTTCACTACTTTCATCTGCTCGTCACACCCACGTACCCCCAGGAATGGAGAACTCCCAAAAAAATACACACACAGAGAAGAAAAAGGAACATATTCTGGGATCACGTTCACATTCAAGGTAGTCCCGCCTAGTTATGCCCCCGGTTTGTTAACCCATCTGACTATAACTAGTTTATGACCATAAACAAAAATCGTTAATCCAATGATACTGTATAAACCAACCTGGCTAACTGGGGCACCAGTTTCGGTACACATCCCTCTTTACTGTATATATATATATATATATAATCTCAATATATGCCATGTACACTATATTCTATACATACATATATATATATATTATCACAATCATCATCTCCCCATTGTCTCCCATTCTATGACTGGGGCACCTGCTGTTTTCCCTTCATAAACCTTTGATTTGCACCAACCTGACACCGACCTGGCACCAGGACACCAATTCTTCATCGTCATCTGCGAATCTTCGCTGGGCCTTCCATGAAGCCCGGTGATTTTGTGTGTTTTTGGCTGCAGGGCTTACCTTGGATATCCTGGGGGAAAAAAAGGAACATACATGGTTTCAACATTAAGCTGTGAAGCTACCAAAGAGCAGATTTAGTACGCACTTATGGCTTCATCACGATAGATAGCAACCATGGTCAGAAAATAAGACTGGGCTTTTTTTTGGCCATAACCAAAAAGACCAAAACTCCCCAATTGATGTCAAGGAAGTCCAACGCCTGAAGCAAGCAAGAAGTCGAACGATGTCTGATTTGTCTTTGTCAGCTGTGGCGTTCCATCTCTCAATCAGGCCTTAATGGGACGAATGTGACATCCCATCGTCTATTGCCCCAGTTCGGAACCGAGAAAAAAAAACATGGGTTTGTGACTATAGGTTAACTATAGGTATTTTTTTAAGATGTAAACTGTACTTTAAATTATGGTTTATAAATGGCTAAATTAGTTAAATGATGTTAGATGGCTAGATAAGAAATATAACCTTTGAAAACACCACCTTGTACATCTGTGCCGTATTCTGCCATGGACCTCTCGGAGGCCTTACTGTCTCGCTATTGTATCTTGATTGCTTGCTCAGATTTCGATCGCAATGTAAAAGTTGCCTAACTCTGTGTTTTTGCCTCAAAGATGAGAGATACCGGCGAAAATACCAAGTTGATGGTGCATTTTTGTTGGTAGGAGTTTTCGGCCCGCAGGCCCAATTCTGAGACACCCAAGGTGCTTAGGATCTCCGTCTCGGAACCGATGGGCAGGTGATTGTAGTTTAGAATCTTTTCCTCAGACCCAGCTGGGCGTGAGACTGGCGGGATACCTTGTTGGACGGAGACGTGTTTGTTTAAAATGGAGAAAAAAACATTTTGTTGATCATGAATTTCTCATTTAAAACAGGGTATGCCCCTAAATCTGGTTTGTCAGACTGCTCACCATTCAATAGCCAGTGGCAGGCATACCTGTATGGCACCCCAATAAGCTGTGTCAACCATGAGATTTTGCATCCTGTATTTGAAAAGATGGAAGTAACATGACGACTAAGTATATACACAACTGTGTAATACTGTGTATATGGTGAAAATCAGGTTTCATGAGTTTCATGTCCATTTCAGTGAAAACTGGAGGTACGGTGCACTCCAGGAAGTCGCTTACCACATTAAGTCACAACGGGTGGCCTTTTCGGGTCGCCTCACAGAACATGGCCAAGTTGGTCTGTTTCACTTTGTTGACCGTTGGGTTTTCTGGTGGAGCAACTATAGGCCAGGATGGGTTAATAAACAAACTTTTTTTTTTAAAAAAAAAGTCACCAGCCTGTAGGCAAACCCTGCCTGGGTTAGTGATATGGTAAACCCAATAACTACACCCCAATGTTGCCGGAAATGGGTTGGCATAATCTATTGGCATCATGCATTCATGTTCATGAATCATAATCATCCAAAACTGCACCTCCGTAACGCTTTCCCCATCTTCAACGGCCAGCGAAGCGTCCACAAAGTAGACCGGCAGGGAGCACCATCGCGAGTCTCGGGTCACCGCTCGAAACTGATCCCGCGTGGCGACCATGTCAGTGGCGATCCTTGGAGCATCAAACATGGCGAGCTGGGAAAATCAAGGGAAATCCCAATATAAATGGGACGCCTCAGGGGGACATGGAAAGTTTGGTGATTTCGGTAGCCAAAATGTGGGGGTTCAACCACCCAAAGTGATAACATCTGGTTGGTGGTATACCTACCCCTCTGAAAAATATGAGTTCGTCAGTTGGGATGATGACATTCCCAACTTCTGGAAAAATAAAAAATGTTCCAAACCACCAAACAGAAGGTGTGTAGTTGGAAATGTCATCTTTTCTTAGGGAATTGTCAAGCAAGCCAGTTTGATTGCCGGAGGGTATGCGCCCTTGTGAAACAATAAGCTCTTATTAAGGGTGCGTTAAAGGCTTATTAACAACCAACAACCACTAGTGAGGGCCTATCAACCATCCATATTCGGGGGGATCGAAATTCCCAAGGTTCAAATCTGCTCCATGGTTCCAACCCAGATTGGGATCATCATCGCAAGTAGGGCTGTACAAACAATGTGGCCACCAACCACATATAATATACACTCTCTGCACACGTATACACTAGTTCTGTCTATATATATATATAATATACACGACATATGGCCCATATACACTAGTTCTGTCATGTTCTGTCTATACTTCTGCAAAAATAGTCTTTTTGTCCTCACTAAAATTGGTAAACTCTTGGTTTTCAGATGTGCATAGCATGGGGCTCTGAACCGCTGACCCCATCAATGTGGGCTAAGCTAAATCTTTGTGGAGCACTTGATGAATGGGATCAATCCACAATATTGGCACGTTATGCGGGATTCTCTCTTAGATTGCTTCACTCTGACCGGGAGACATGACTATTCCTACATCACGGAATGCAAGCTTTAACCAATGTCATCACAATGTTTGCCGCTCATTTTGCAGGTGGATTCACTGAAGAAATCTCTTTGCTTTGCTGAGGCATTCGTTGGGATAGAAAACACACCCACATCCCAAAGAACCTACCCGTCACATTTCCGCCATGGGTGCTACAGTAGTCACATCCCCCGTTCAAATTAAACACGTCCCAAGTCTCAAGTATGTGGCTTCACCTCCATTATTGAACGGGGGAAAGGATTCGTTGTTTGTTTCACTATATTTCCACTAGATCCCCATGACATCCCATACACAAAACCGCCATGAAATTGATGGTTTGAATCCTAATATTTTTTGCTTAAAGCACACTTGGTGACACCATGGTTGATGCTTAAATAACACAAAATCATCATGTTTGTCCACCCCAGCTCCCGCCAGCCCAGGCACGTGTTCACCAAGACCTGTGGTTCGTCCGTTGCCCGGAAGAAAATGGTGGGTTGGAACTATGAAAAATTGCGATTTCAGCAAGAAAATCATGGTTTGATGTGAATATGATTATGGGACATAATCAATCATATTATCATGGGGGTTCAATGATTCAACCCTCCCCCCACAGGTGGCCAATAATCGATGGTTTACACCCACTGGTGGTTGGTTAAGCGCCTTGGGTTGTCGGTTTTTGTTCGGTGAACCAACAGGAACCAACCAGATTTATGGTGGTAACAGCACAAACAACACACCTGGGAGTCAAGCACACAAATCTGACTGATTTGTGGCCAAGCTTTTCATCTCAAACATATTCCGCAGTATGCTGTCTGGCCCTGCAGCTCTTAGGTGACAATCTCTAGGAGAAAACAGGTTGTCAAATCACATCAGCGAGTCCTGAACCAACATCTGGAAGACAGCCCTGGGATCGTTCAATCATATGAATTTTGGAACCAATTGTGTGCCATACCCAAATCGCATCTATCCAAAGGACATTGCGCGAATGTTCTTCTGTTGCTCGGTGCTCGTAATGCTGCAGGTGGTAAAACCTGGGAGAGCACTGAAGGGTGTGAATGTTAGAGTTCAGTGACCAACGGGTCGATGCCCCCAAGGAAACAAAACCACTTCATTCAAAGAATGATCCATGATGGGCACATTCAGGTTACCACCAATATTCATGTCAACATGCAAGCTGGAAAGGTATGTGATTGATGGGCATTGAAGTTCCTTTCCGCCTGGAAGGAATAACTAAAACATCATTAAGGCCATCCTACTAACCATCAGTCCAGTGACGTCGCTAATCCATCCAGATTAAACAATCCAACGGAATGTTGGCCCCATTTGCGATTTGTTTCGCGTTGCAACTTGGTGAAGTGGAACAACTCATGGACCAACACATGTGGGCCAATGCCTTTGAGCCACAAAGTTTGATGCCCTGCTAAAGGTTTTACATTTCATGGGATGGATGAGATAATGATTTATACAATTTGATGGTAAACCATGCCGATCTCAAAAAGGCAAAACATCTTTATATTATACTATAGCCTTACTATATAGCTGCAATCCGTCTTTCGAGTGTCCTTCTGCCAATCATCTGCCGAGCTGCGCGTCAGCAAAGTTCAGCTCGCCAACCACGTAGAAGCTCCTGGCGCAAGCGTGCCGATCCCAGCAAGTCGTAGCAACCGGTGCCACCAAACATGGAGATTCTTCAGATTTATCATTTTATCTACATGTCCTAACAGGAGATAGTGCATTCAAATGTTTATAATTGGCTTAATGTATTAGATTGTACTAGACGTTTCAGATATGAATGATAAAATGCACAGCCAAACATAGATATACGTTTCAGATATCCGTGGTTCGTCAGCGAAACCTCGCCAATCACTTCCTATCACTTCCTAACTTCAGGGACGCTCGTTGGATGATCCTCACCAGTCGGCTTTGAACCCAGGAACTCATGTAGCAATTCTTATGTTTTACAGAAAGTAGCAAACACCGTAAATCATGCAAACCACTTAATATACATATATATATATGTATATTATATATATATGTGTGTGATATATATATATATAAATAAATAATCCAATCAATAATCAACTATACTTACCATCCCAAACTAACATTTGAGAATCACTCATAATTTGAAAGGTTTCAGTAGCTTTCCAGCCCCCAACTCATAGCAGGGTCTATTTCATTTGTGGGTTTCTAAAATCTCAGATTTTCGTTACATCCGGGTTTTGCTTAGGTTAAATCCACTATAATTATATATATATATATACCTTGACTCTCCAACGACCCTTAATTTTTGGTGTCTTTCAAGAAAAATTGCAGTTTTTTCCGAAAGCACTTTTCCTGAAATCAAGTACTGTTTTTTGCATGTTAGTGATGTTCACTCATGGAGGTACAGCTGAAACTGTGGAAATCAAATAAATGTGCCACATGCCAACTTGCAACTCATTGTTGCAGGTGCCATTTTTGTTTTGGCTGCTTGAAGGTCCAGGAGCAAAGATTTCCAAACTATTGGTTCTCGTTTACGTGTTTGATGCCATGGTTTCGATCTTGCTTGCTTTGGGTTTTGGACGCGCTTTGCTCTTTCATTATTGCACGCATGAGGGTAGGTCTCAACACTCAGTTGCGGACACGCGGGTGAATTGCTCAATTTTGGTGACAACTTGTCCTTGGAAGATTTGCCCATACAACGCAAACATGAAAAGGCCTTTTTTCTTCAAACGTACCTTTTTTTGCTGAGGGCCGTCCGGACGGCGTCCGAGAGTACGAAAAATGCGTCCAAAGTACGGAAATATCCGTCCGGCTTGGACCCGTCCGAACCAAAAGGACTTTTTTCCAAAAAACGCACCTTTTTCCCGAGAGCGTCTGAGCGCAGGGTTCTTCCAATAGTGGGGGTCTGTAAAACATCTTCTCATCTTCACATCTTCTCTCACATCTGCTCATCTTCACATCTTCTCTCACATCTTCTCTCACATCTGCTCATCTTCACATCTGCTCATCTTCGCATCTTCTCTCACATCTGGTCATCTTCACATCTGCTCATGTCCACATCTTCTCTCACATCTGCTCATCTTCACATCTTCTCTCCTTTCTCTCTCCCTTTTCTCTCTCTCGCCTTCTTTATCTTTCTCTCTTAAGGCCGAGGGTGGTGCCGGCGGCGAGTCACGAAACGTCAACCCTTTCGCACGAAACTTGGCGCTGATTTAAGCCCTTGCCACCTTTTACCATTTTGATTTTGGTGATGATACTTTTTAAATCTCAACAAACATCAAAAAACACAAAATATGAAGGTCAACATTTTCCACAAATAGCGGGTGATGATTTTTCTATTTGTGATTCTTAGAATAAATCAAGAAACAAAAATGTGAAGATCAAAATTTACCACATGTCATATGACATTTAAAAAGATTGGTGGGGGATTTGTTCACAATTTTCCATGGGATGCTGCAAAAGTGTCCACTATGACTCAAAAGGGTGCTGTTCAAACAACATTTTGTTTTTGATGTTGGTTTTTGGTGAGGGTTTTTTATCCTTAGAAAAAGATCAAGAAACAAAACTGTGAAAACCATAGTTTTCCACATGTCACAAGTCATTTAAAACAATTGCTGAGGGGATCTGTTCACATTTCTTATTTGAAGAAATGGGTGGGGATCAGTTCATTTTTCCATGGGATGCTGTAAAAGTGCCCACTATGATTCAAAAGGGTGCTGTTCAAACAACATGTTGTTTTTGATGTGGGTTTCTGGTGATGGGTTTTCTGTGTGTGGTTCTTAGAAAAAATCAAGAAACAAAACTGTGAAGATCAAAATTTACCACATGTCGCAAGTCATTTTAAAAGATAGGTGGGGCATCTGTTCGCATTTTTCCCTGGGATGCCGTAAAAGTGTCCGCTATGACTCAAAAGCGTGCTGTTCAAACAACATGTTGTTTTTGATGTTTCTCCCCCATTATTCAAAAGTCATCTCATACAATGTGCGAAGCAAATTTTCTCATGTAAGTTCCAGGTCCGTGCAAAAAAAATATCTATCATAGTTCATATTGCAGCGCCCTTTTTTTAATTCTCCCGGATGCTGTAGAAGTATCCATTTTATTTGTCTGACGCTGGTGTAAATATTTGGGCATTATGGAGTTTTAAAGTCATTTGTGGTTGCCTCTGTTCAACGTGCCACCACAGAAAACATTGATCTTTTGTGATGCTGCAGCCCATATCGGACAGACTCAGAAGTTGAAGGAAGGGGGGGGCAGGGCGACCAAACAAATACACTAAGGCAAAAACAATCAATCAGATTCAATTTAATGGGTATTTCTACGTTTGGTTTCGTTGTTTCCTGCTGGCCTGCAGCCTTCAAGCCATGTGTGCTTTGGACCACATCTCAATTGCAACTTGTGCTGGCAATGAGAACTTAGCGCTGCATCTTCCGGTTGCTGCTGTAAAAGTGGCTTCCAAATTGAAAACAGTTTCCACAGTTTGCTGTGAACATGTGGCCAAACAATTTTATATATAGGTCTAAAGATAATGAGGGGGAAACTGAGACATCGGTATTGGTGTTGCTACATACTTGCCAAAGGTATTCGATAATGGTGGCACGTTGTTTTAACTTTCCTGTGCAGTGCTCACTCTTGAACTTTCAGGGCATCTTCACCGTCGGTCGCTCGTCTCAAAAACTAGGTGGACTAAGCTCAGAGGGCTCTTAGTGCTGTAAAAGTGCTAATCCCTGGATGCTGTAAAAGTGTCCAAGCGGGCTCTTAGCGCTGTAAAAGTGCTAATCCCCGGATGCTGTAAAAGTGTCCAAACAGCGCTGTAAGAGTGCTGCAAGGGTTGGACTTGAAGGGCGCTGTAAAAGTGCCTGGACCTACAACCTGCACTGCGAGAAGACCAAGAGACCGGAAGCTTCAAGATCTTTCACATCAAGTTCAGAGGCGGGGTCAGCGGCAATATCCAGCTATAAAACATATATAATAAGCAAAAGACAACCCCACCACCATCCACTACCCATCCCATCCCGCCGACGACATCCCATATCACCAACCCACCCCATCACCAACCCACCCCATCACCAACCCACCTTTTTCCTATCATCCCCATCCCATCATCCATGCTTATGAGATAAAGAGTATAGTATATACAGGCACAATGGCTGCAACCTCAGTGTCGTTCTTGCCAAGCATTGAACTGCTGCTGTAAGAGTGGCTGGCACATGGAAATTGAACATGACTTTCAATATCTTTAAATGGTATTATGCTCTCAAGCATTGAATTGCCAAATTGCCGCTGTAAGAGTGGCTGGAAAGCAAGGCGCATCACGGCTTATATAGACATGACATTCTATTTCTTTAGATTCATACAACAGAAAAAAATATAGTATATGTATACAGGCCCATCATGGCTGCAACCTCAGCCTCGATGTTGGCAAGCGTTGAAATAGGGCTGTAAGACTGGCTGGCACATGGCAATTGAACATGACTTTCAATATCTTCTAAGACCTCTAAATTTAGTTATAATCGCTTCAGGCACTTAATGAATTTATAAGTATCTGATAAGTTGCCAGTATCGTGCTAATATCTTTTTCAAGTGCATTCGTAAAATTAAGTTATTTTAAGTTCCACTTATTTTTTAAGTGAGCTTAAACAGTAATAATGAACTTATAATCAAATAAAGTAGAAGACTAAGTGAAAATAAGCGAATATAAGTGACACTGAGTGAAAATAAGTGAAAATAAGTGAAATGCATGTATTTTTGATTTTCGATTGAACAACAGAATTGGATTGCAACAACCACCAAATGATCTGAGGTGAAGATGGTTGCTGCACAGGAATAGCTGGAGAAATAGATACCTGAAAATTATGGTTGATGTAACGGAAAGTTCCAGTAAAAGGAGATTCCATACTTTTCAGGAACTCTCCTTTGCTGGAACTTTCCTTGACAGGAACCATCCTTTTCAGGAACTCTCCTTTGCTGGAACTTTCCTTGACAGGAACCATCCTTTTCAGAAAAACTCTCCTTTACTGGAACCTTCCTTTACAGGAATCATGGCTTT